ATTGTCGTGTAAAGGCACGGCGTAACTTTCCTCTCCTACCACCGAACGGGAACCAGCAAACCAACGACCGGGATTCGAGCCGGAACACTCCTCAAGATTGCCGCCAAGAGGCAATCAGCAACAGCAATAAGAAGCAGCACAGAAGTTTTCTACTGAAAAACTGCACTGTACCAAACCACCGTCCTCTGTTCGAATGAAACCTCAGACCATTCAAAACGAAACATCGAATGATAGCTGCACCTGGATGATGGTTTTTTTTTTTAAATCAGATGATTTTCCTCTCGAATACAGGATGACATTGTTATGAAAAGGGATAGGGCCTTCAGTTGGAATGCGTCATGCTCTCTGCAGAATGATAGCCCTCTTAAATTGAAATGCATTTGGTATTGGTTAAGCCCCTTAACGCAACTCATTGAAATCGATGATGTAAATAATTCTATCAACGTCATTTGCTTATCTGAGCAGGCAAATGAGGTGGAAGCATAGCCATCGCTATCAGAGGTGATACGAACATTGGTAAAGGGTGGAAATCGTAAATTGTCTATTTCGTGGTGGAGGAAGTTTCCTCTACCAACACTACATTTTTGTATCCATGATGAATGGCTGTTCATTAGCAGGGTTGCCACATATACAGATTATTCTGTATTTTACAGATTTTCTGGATCATTTCAGGACCAAGAATCTGTATATACAGATTTACAGATTTTTATCTAAAATACAGATTATACAGATTTTTACTGAATTCCAAATAAATGTCCTAATTATTTTTAGATCATAGTACGATTTAAGTTTTCATTGAGCATACATTGTATTCAGTGTGCACAAAATACATTACCATTCAAAGTGTTTTTGCTACTTCATTCGTGAAATGTACGATTTTCAGAGTTGGTTGGAAATGCTACATGAAACTTTAGTGGGATAATTTATAAACATTACCAATTTCTGAGTTGTTTTTATGTTCATCCAGTAACTTAAAGCTTCTTTAGGATATTGACTTTATGTTCTGAAAATTGACTAAATAGCTTAAACAAATATTAGTTCAAGATCCTCTCTGTCAAAAATATGATGATATCGAAATGACAGAAAGTGTGTGTTCAATATACATTATACATTATAAGAGGTACACTTAATATAAAATGTTTTGTTTACCTAGAAGAATTCAGTTATTTATGCGGAAAGCAAATAGTTTTCAACTGTGCAAGGCTCGGTGTTTGAAAATATTTGAAATAAAAGAATTTATTACATCAGCTATTAATTAGTTGGTTATTAGTATGGATGCAAATTTTTTGATGAATTGGGAATATATGCTCAGTAAAGTAAAATTTCTAATAACAATTTTTTTACGGTAGCATTTTTCATAATATTTGTTCAACGATTGATGCAGATTTTAAATACAGATTTTTTGCATCAAGATACAGATTTACAGATTTTTTTTCAGAAGAAATACAGATTTAAATGTGGCAACCCTGTTCATTAGGATGGGTCATTAGACTGATGCAAAATTTGACTTTTTCGCTCCACAGTGCTTAAATGGTTTCAAATCGGGTCCTGATTAGCCTCCCAAAGTTACAACTCATTTGGTTAGAAACAGACTTCGCACAAGCCATTTGAAGTTTACATGTAAATTACTATGGGAAATCTCAACTTTTTGTTCATTGCCTTCTAGTCTTTTTCCATATTGAGCTGCGAAACAGTTCGATAGCCATTCTTATAGAAAATTTTCTCAGCTACAACTTTGCTCAAGATCGTTTCTATGTAAACCGAGACAGGAAAAAGTTATTAATTATTTAAGAGATTGGTAAACTTATGACATGATCAAGCAGCTGCTCTGTAGGCAACACTGTATTTTGCAGTGGACATAGTAGCCATGATTTTTGTGTCCTATTCAACGCTCCAGAAACACCAATGTTGCCTGCTGAGCAGTTGATTGAGAATGATCATAAGACATCAGCGCATTGAACCATTGATAACTTTCGATCCTTGCATTTAATCAAAAAGTAGTCTTCAGCAAAGTTGTAGCTGGGAAAATTTCCTACAAGTTTTTGAAGCAGACCGATATGGTGAATTATTAGATAGACATGAACAAAAATCTTGGTTTTACCATAGTAATTCCCACACAAACTTCAAATGGTTTGTGCCATCTCAGTTTCTCACCAAATTTGTTCAAATTTTGAGAGGTTAGTCAGGATCCGGTTTGGAATCGTTTAAGTATTGTGGAGCGAAAATTTCAAATTTTGCATCACTCTAATGGGTCATCATGACCATTTTTTCAGAACAATGTTTTTTTGGTTCCATTTGGGGTCCCAAACAACTATGCAAAACTTGGAGACGATTGGTTGTAACCCGGCTTTCCGCATTGCGTTTGAAATTTGTATGGAAATTAGTATGGGAAAACCTCTTTTTTTGCATCTTCATTACTAGGGACCACAATTTTGCCCAAACCACGCATCTAAATATGTTCAAGTATAGCTCAGGACAGTCTTTATGTTTACTTTCATTGATATAAGTGAGGGGCGGAAAGGATACAGTAAGCCCCCCCCCTCTCCATATCTAACTACGCCTATTAAATGTAGCACATGCTTTTGAATACATCTGAACATACCAACTTGACAAGATCAGAAACACCGAAGTTATTGCAGTTTGAAGCTTTACTTCCATTTATATGAGTGAAGGGGCGGGGTATAGTTAGCCCCCCCCCCTCATCTCTTAATATGCCTATGAGTTTGAAAAATTGTTTTTGAATAATTCATATGAACATACCAAATCGATAAGATAAGAAACTCCGAAGTTATTTCAGTTTGAAACTTTATTTCTATTGATATGAGTGACAAATTGCGGATGTTTTCGTTCAGCGTAGGATATTTTGCCTAGAGTCGGTGTATAATGAGTCACGCCAAGAGTGAAGCCAAGTCTACCTATTGAACTGTCAAACCGGCTACCTCTCGTGCAAATTATATAAACATTACGATGCTATGAAAGGTCCACGAAAGGTATTGCAATAAAATATAAAATATAATCGAAGAAATGAGCATAAACACGCAGTGAGCGCTAAATTGTCATGGGATACGCTCGGTTATGATTAGTAATGAGAATTTCTACTATTTTTTGTTAAGATAATTGGACAAAATCACTGATATAATGATTTACTACAGCCGCAATATTTTTTCTCTCGCTAGAAGTCATTTGAAGTTGTTGTAGAAGTCCTCTGTTGCCAAGTGAAAAGAATGGGAATCTTCCGAAAACCGTGATGCGAGTTCAACTGTTTTTCTATTGGCGTGACTCATTATTCACCGACTCTAATTTTGCCGTCCACGCTCCTCATCAACCAACATTCCTGTTGCCGGCGGGACATCCATCAACCATTGATGTATTTCTATCAAACGTTCCGGTATCAACTCTAACAACGATCAATGACTTACGGTTTGAGTTTTAAACTTTTTTTTTTTACTCAAAATTACCAAAATAAATTACGATACATACTGCCTATAATAACATATCAGTCCCATATGGAAAAAAGTAGGCATTGAAAAAATGGTAGTCAAAGCTACGAAGTGCAATTCCCATGTAAATATTTGAAAAATAATAATAAATTTATTGATCATTTATTCAAGTTAAAATCTGTTGCAATGAAGCTTACATGTTTTGTTAAATTAGCGAAAAATATGGCAATTTGAAAAGCAAAACTTGAACTTGAATTATGGACGATTGAATTTAAGGATGGGACTGATATGCGATTATTTTGCTTGATGGGGGGATAAACTGACTTGATCTAGGACTTGATGTTGTTATCACATTTTTCATTATCAAAGTCCAAAGTTTTATCACATAATATGATAGAAGATGCCAATTGATAGTTGATAGCGTTGTTATCTCAAAATTGACAAAAATCCATTTGGGACTGATATGCGATTATAGCATAGAGGTAACTCTAAGGCTAGAAGGTCCCGAAATAACGTGCTCAACTGTTTGGCTCAGCTCTGGTACTCTCTTCGGTCCCAAGCTAATCGATTCACCCCTCGAAACAGAGGAAAAACCGAGGGGGACGACTCTATCTACGATGCGAAAAAGATTGTGTTTTGCTGTGGCTAGCTGCACGCACGCTTAGTAGATAGAAAGAAGATTGATGACGATTCTGAAGATTTCCTGCAAAAAATTGATGAGCGATGCAAGTAGATGCGACAAATGAAAGAAGATTGTTCGAAGATTGATTCGCTAGTGTGAGATTTGTTGACCATCTAAACTTGAGATTTAGATGTGTCGCCCCCCTCGGGAAAAACCAATAACCCCTCATTTTATCTGTCAAACTTTCATAGCGAATCAAAACAAACATTGCGTAGTACTAGAATTTCGACTAGAATGGGGTACGTTAATCGTTTGCTTGGGACCAATAGGCTAGTCAAGTAGTGAGCCAATTTAAAATCGTTAGTTTCGTATTGTTTGTTGATTATAGGCAGTATATTTGTTCCAGAAAGACTTTAGTTATTAACACACAAAGTTTCATACAAATCGGAGAAGGTCACGTCATTTTTTTTTTTGCTCTTTGGTTTGGAACTGTTCTAGAGCAAAAACCGTGTGATGTTTGTTTGGAAATACCTAAATATGAAGGTGCTGAAAAGACTGTTACACTTCAAATTTAAGTGTCAAATCATGCAATCCACACGCAACAAAACAACGCTAGCATGACGCCACCAGATATGACAAAAAGCGTTCGACAGCCACTCTTGGTCTGCGTGAGGTTTATCGATCTTCCGTGCTGCCACACCCTTTCCCACTCAGTCGAACATCCCATTAGTTAAGATGCCATTATATTTCTGCTCACAACAAACACCTCGGCATGATTATCATTATGCCAAAATTATCACTTTGGTAGTCTTTCCGTGCAATTACCCCGAATGATGATACTATAAACGCGACGGATTTTTATATGGACACGCTTGTTTATATCGCTTCAACTTTTCACGTGATGCCATGACGCGTATTCTGCCGACATCATGATGGAAGCCTGCTGTGTCCGGTTACGAAAGGGTCATCTGCTTTTTTCGGTTAACTGTTCTGGAATATGGTTGGAAATCACAGGAATCTTTGAAAATTAGGATTCGATTTCAATTTGAGGAAACTTTAAATTTTTATAATCTTGCTAAACTGTGACGAAAATACGTCAGACTACCCTAGCGTAAGACTAACCATGGCTGTTCGCGGGAAGGATCTACTATGGCGTTTTTGCAAAGAAATACCTAAGAGGAAGAGGTGACAATTGGCTTCTTCCTCTTTTACTTCTATCTCTATCTCTATCTTTACTATCTTTATCTCTATCTTACGCACATGAAATCAGGAGCTGGTTCACGTTTGACAGAAAAGTGGTTTTTTTCGCCCCCGTATTGTCACCTCTTCTCTTGGAGAAATACATATCAGGATTCACCGGACAACAAAATGACGCGACCGATGAGTTTTACTCGACAATTCAATAAACCGGTACATGGCGCGGTGCCATATGATCTCCGTTGGATAAATATTGTCTATATGCGGAAGGCAACACCAATATTTACCAATGCAAATTTGGCGAAGCAACGGTCGCGATCGGTCAGACAAAAGCAAATAACATTTATTCAAGGTTATGAAGTCTTCCTGGAAGATTTTAAAACGTTTGCTAGGTTAAAAGAGGGGTTTCAGTTTGTCGTGTAGCCTCTGACCCCACTTCACAGTGGGGTGAATCTATACAAGAACCGGTCGAAATGTCTTTTTTAAATCGTAATCAACATTCTTTTAAGTAATTTGATAATTCGGAATCCACATTTTACGATCAAAATAAGGTATTTAAAAATTTAATATTCTAGGGTAGTTCTAACATTTTTTTAACGTTTTTTTGTAGCAAATAGGGTAATGGATGTATTTTGGCCCACCTGGCTATATTTTGCACATTTTATCACATAAAATTAATAAAATTTTAGAATATTGTGAATGTTAGCGTCTTCCATTATTTTTTTCAGTCAATTGTTTCATTTAGTGGTAGAAAATTCAAAATATACTCGCACAACCCGAATTTACCGTAAATCATTCCTCCGAACTTCTGGAAAGTAACTGTGATTTTCTTCAAATTAATGAGAATGCTATGAGGTCCCTGGTCTACCCCGAAGTACACGGAGCATCCTTGAAATTAAATCTCTAAACTTCTTTTTCCCGCATTTTTTTTTTCTAAAGTTCTAGAAACAGCTGTGAAGTTCACGGAACTTCCCCGGTTTATGCAGTTTCTTAATGTGCGTTTAACTTACTTGAAGTTTTCGATTTTTTCTGGAAATACTTCTTTTTAATAAAAAAAAAAAAATTTTATTAATAAAAACTTTTGGAAATTCCCTGCCTCTATGAAGCTCCTGCGATTAACTAGGGCTTAATGCAACTTCCTTGATGGTGTCTGAAGTTCTCAGAGCTTTCTTGAGGTTCTCGTATTGCTCCTGACGTTCTTGATTCTGCCATGAAGCTAGTGAAACTGTCTTTAAGATTTTTAAACTTCCCGCATGTTCTCTGTTCTCTCCCTTTAGCTCAGTCGGTAAAGGCGCAGCTACAAAGCAAGACCATGCTGGAGGTGGCTGGATTCAATTCCCGGTCCGGTCTAGGAATTTTTCGGGTTGGAAAATTTCTCGACTTTCCTGGGCATAATAGAGAATGATTGTGATTGTGGCAAACACAATTATACTAATGCAAAAATGGCACAGACATCGAAAACTGTGGAAGTGCATCTAGAACACTAAGTTGAGAGCACGCAATAAGCATGTATTGCGATAAGCAATAAGCAAGACTAAAAAAATGCAAAATCACAGGCACCAATATCACTAGCCTTCATCACCACGAAAATCACCCGTGATTTTCGACCAATTTTCGATTCCCAAAATCAACCAGCATCAATATCAACCAAGATCAAAATCATCGAAAATCATAGGATTAGAAGATATGTTAAATTCTAGAGTTTAGCGCATTCCGAAATTCAAGTCAACATTAGTCAATTCAAGTCAATCAAAATCGTGGATTTCAACCCAAGATGACTTCGACAAATCCAAGATGGCGGACCAAAATCCAATATGGTGGCCCCTGGACAGGGAATATGCACCTAAGCCCATGCAATATGAGTATCTACAGAATGGGCTCGATGAGGGGAAGTGGAAAATTGACATCCGCCACCATTTTTAAATCCAAGATGGCGGACAAAACACAAGATGGCGGACAAAACACAATATGGCGGCCCCCGGACCGGAAATATGCATCTAAACCCATGCAATATGGGTATCTACGGAATGGGCTCGATGAGGGGAAGTGGAAAATTGACATCCACCACCATTTTTAAATCCAAGATGGCGGACCAAAACCCAATATGGCGGCCCCAGGACAGGGAATATGCATCTAAACTCATGCAATATGGGTATCTGCGGAATGGGCTCGACGAGGGGAAGTGGAAAATTGACATCCGCCACCAGTTTGGAATCCAAGATGGCGGACCAAAACCCAATATGGTGGCCCCTGGACAGGGAATATGCATCTAAACCCATGCAATATGGGTATCTGCGGAATGGGCTCGATGAGTGGAAGTGGATAATTGACATCCGCCGCCTTTTTGGAATCCAATATGGCGGACCAAAATCCAATATGGCGGCCCTTGGACAGGGAATATACATCTAAAACCAAGCAATGTTGGGTTTAGCTGCATATCCCCTGTCCAGGCGGATGTCAATTTTCCACTTCCACTTATCGAGCCCATTCCGCAGATACACATATTGCATGGGTTTAGATGAATATTCCCTGTCCGGGGGCCGCCATATTGGATTTTGGTAAGCCATCTTGGATTCCAAAATGGCGGTGGATGTCGGTTTTTTACTTTGACTGTAATACCAAGCTATTGATTTTCCGTTTGGTTTTTTGTTACCTCAAGATCAGGTAAGGTTAAAATCAGCCTAGATTTTCTGCGTTGTGATTTTGCTACTCTCAAGATCAGCAAAGATAATATCAGCCTCGATTTTTTGATGTGTGATTTTGCTACTCTCAAGATCAGCTAAGATAAAATCAGCCGTAATTTTCTTTGTGTGATTTTGCTGATCTCCAGATCAGCAGTGATTTTCGCTCGTTCCTGATTTTGGATTTTTTTTGATTTTTTTCCATCACTGTTCTCTGGACTTCGGTGACGTTTCTGAAATATTTTCAGAGTTCTCTGAACTTCAACGAAATTTCCTTTGCTTCTTAAAAGTTCTCTAAACTTTCTTGAAGTTTTATTGAACTTATGGAATTGCCCGGAATTTATCGAAATTAACCATACAGATCTTTAAACTTCACCGAATGTCTGGACTTTCCTTGATGAGTGTCCATGTGGATGATTGTTCATGAAGTTTTTAAAACATTCCTAAACACCACACAGATTCCCTAACTTCCTTAAGTAACTGAAACTTCTTTAAACTTCCCACAAACCCTAGACAGGACGATGTCGCAATCCAACTTTCGAGTTAAGAGTGGAATAACCATCGATTGGAATGTTTTACACAGGTTAAATGATATGTGTGGGTTGCTATTTGTCGCAGACAAAAAGTTCCGTTGAAACCGTTTTTAAAACCTTAGTTATACGAAAGTGTAACAAAGGTAATAGTGATATAGTAGTATAATATCTAAGTTAACAAAGCGTATAACGGATTCAAATTCATTTTACCATATACAGTGATAGATTTCCTTGTTAAGGATTTGAAACAATGATTGCAGTTAACTATTCATATTCCTAGATAGAGCTCGAATTAGGGCGTAACAGCTTTTGTAAGCAATGACTTCTCTTGATGATTTCTAGTAATGCTTGCCCACGTAAATCAACATCCTCATCGGGTAGGGGAAGACTTCCCCTATCTGATGGTTATGTTGGTTTGCATGGGCGTGCCTTGAATTCCTATAAATCATCGAAATAAATCATTGTTTACAAAACCTGTTACGACCTAATTTCAGCTCTATCTAGATTTATTGAATTTCCAGGAAGATCACTGTGTTATGCCTTGGTTCAAAATTTACGGTCTTTCAATGAATTTTCATCTTCATCGCTATGCGCTGAATTCAGTCCATGTCGGATTATCCTGAAACTGTGCATTTGAGGCTAAAATCGATCAGCGAATTTAAAACAAAAATATTATAAAAATAATTTCAATTACGACTGGCTTTGCCCCACTGCGTACTCGGGTCATCGGCGGTAACGCCGTAGTTACACAACTGGACTAGACGAATAATCAATATTTAATTTCATCCATAAATATTCAAGCCGTTTTCATTCTACCCTTCTTGCGATTCCGTGTACGTGACGCAAATAGGCTCTTCTGGAACGGACTCGGTCGCTTCAGCACAGGCCCCACAATATCACAACAATCAGCGAACGGCGATTTTGAGGTCAGGCGTGCCTGGTTGTAATAGACTTTAAAATAAAACATTCTCGACGAAGGTTTACGGTCGATTGCTATCAGTGCAGGCTTCCATCGCTTGGCGGGGTCTTATCGGGAAAGGTGATCAAATGTTGCACATATATGTAGGCTTAGAAAACTGCTCTCTACTCCTGTCATTCATCATCGTTCAGAAAACTGCTCAACTGGCAATTAATTCGTTGCCAACAATTTGATGACCTGTTCATGACTCGACGCGCCATTCCACTACCTCGGTATCACGAAATCAACGGAATCGGTATCTCCGAATCGAATCTACAAGGAACGGGCGGCGGCGATGACACGAGACAATCCATTAAAACCAATTGAGAGCACCATGAACCTCTCGCCGTCATTCCATAGAGTTTGTCACCCACTCAAAAGCTGCTCCCTAGTAGTAAAAACAAAAACCATCTGGCCCCTCTGGGCGGAGGTTGTTCTTGTACGATTTCGCCTGATCGTAAACACATTCTTGCGACGACTTTCGATGGATACAGAAGCACACACTTTCTTGACACCAATACAGCGATAGAATGGAACGTTACTCATCCATAGCTTCTGAGGACTGGAGACATGTTCTCCACTGTTCTCCATGGCTACTGGAACGGCACGCACCCCTCCTCATCGCGGTCCGTGAAAGAAGTTCACTTCGAGGATTGATCGTGATTCAACTGCAGCAACCCACATACTAGATTCCATTCATTAATTCTACGACGCCAATTGACATTAACACTCTGCTTGGATGGAATCGCTTTTCATTTTTTTTCATTTCGGCCCAGGCCAAATTCATCACGCACTCTCCACTTTTCCGGCCGAAAATTCACGAATCTGAGAATGTTACACTCTAACGGAACACCACCGCCATTTTCCGCTCACAAACAGTTTAAACCTCCAGGCACCCCTACTTGCATACTTAGCAAACACTTTCCCACTAGAACAACAGGTCCCGAGCACTTAGCGAGGCACGCGTTAAGAGTCGCCGAATTCTGAACGATTCGGATGCTGGAACGAAACTAAGCTGAACTCTGAATTCTGTTGACGCAAAACTTACACTGTCTTGGCACGCCCAGATATCAGTTCCGAATCCGCTTGCATTTACACGGCATACACACGGTGGGAAAACAAGATAAAAGTGAAACGTTAAGAAAAAACAGCCCCCTCCGAACACCTCCAACACTACACTAAACACTTCGGTGTGAGGAGCGGAGATCTCAGGGCCTACTCGTGTCGCTGCACTACCTAATACGTGTGAACCACCCGTCGTCGTCGTCGTAGTAGGCTGAGGGCACCTCAAAAACCGGACTGGAGCCCATATACATACAACATACCGCGTAACTGCAAGCAAACTGCTGCCTACCATCACCACCAACAACGTGCGACGAACACTCCTCACGTATAAGCCGTAGTATGAGGTGTGTCACCTGTGCCCCTGTAGTGGTGGCTGAATAGTTCTCATCTCGGCCTTTGTTTGTTCCATGAATGAATGAACGCGGTTACCTGCGCTCGCCGCACACACTAGCACAGAACTATGCTCCATACTACCAGCGATGAAAGCAGGTTGCATTTAAATCACGCAATTAAGCTGCCAACTGTAGAGACTTAAAACAATACAGCCCCAGTTTCGATGACAGTTGATGGTTTCGGCAATTAAGCGAGTTCATTCCAGTTGACATTCCAACGATGAATCACATCTTCAGACTTAATGACAATCTGATGGGCTTCTAATGTACTTTGTCGTGTCTGCAAGGCTTTCTTTCCGACTTCATCTACGATGCAGTATTCTAAAAATACTCTTTATTTGGGCATAAATGCGCATTTCTTAATTAAATGATCGCCAACGCCGCGATCTGGACGGAATGTTACGCTTTCCTAGGTTAAACTCTACCCTACGCTTGATGATTCGTTCGTTACATCGTTCTAGGAGATTGCTTCTCTTACGTCTAGTTTGTAAAACAAAACAAAAACTAAAAAACCCCTATATGTCCGTGTGTCCTCCACGGTACTTCCGCTCGTCCATGGTATAGGCGGCCATTTCAGCGTTGGCAATGTTGTTCAATCGACGGTAGGTCGCCCGTCTGGCTTCCACGATGAACAGGATCCCGGCAGGGAATAACAGAAACACTCCGACCACTCCCAGCGCAAATGCCCATCCCATGCCGTTCCGTTCCCAGTTGGGCATCCAGTCTCGACTGTCCCCGTTGCATCCAAACGTCAGAACGGCAATTAATCCAGAGATGGCTCCCACTACCATGGTCGTCCCGTTCGTCAGCAGCAGCATTATGTAGCGTTCGTTATCCTTGGAACAGCCCAGGAATAACAACGTCATAATGCATCCCATGAGGAGCAGCGTGAAGCAGAGCGTGAAAAAGAACTGCACCGCAACGAAGAATCCCGGCAGGATGTAGTCATTCAGTATGTAGTACTCCTCCTCAAATATCCACATGCACCCGCTGAAGCGGGTATCGTAAAAGCGATGAATATCCTGGAAATCGTTCAAGCATAACTCCCACAGCCCTAAAATGCAAAATAACAATTACAACCAAACATTCCACCAGGAGCATAAACAAAACACCTTTGTTTTGTTTACGCTCAGCCCCTTAATTTCCCTCAGCACTGCGTCCGACTTTGCCTTCTTTCAAATAATCTTTTCCGATCCCCTCCTATCCACTGATGCATCCAAACAACCATGATAAATGACACACCCTGCGCAGTACGGATACCAGAGCCCGCCTCTATCGAACTACCTACTTACCCAAATTGGTGAACTTGGGATTGGCCAGCTTTCCATCGGTTTGCAGCCAGTACGGCGAGCAGAACGCAATCAGGATAAACAGGAACGCGGACGCCGTAAATCCGACGGCAATTTTTCCAGTCATGGTGCTCGCTCCCATCTTGACTACGATGACGATTTGACAGACAGTGACCGACGACGATCGAACGGTCGATTGTGATGTTTGCATCGGGATGAACTCGCCTCGGATGAATGCGATGAACGTTGTTATATGAATGAGACTTTTGGCTGGTAATGTTGGTAGCTTGTTTTTGTTGCATTTGTTGTTTAGTGTGATACCCGAGGTGATACCGGCAATTGTTTGCTGCTTGTCGATAGTAGAAATTGTTTGGGACATCAATTATTCATTAATTTCGAAACTGAATATCATTTCCTGCCGAACACTGGTGGAAGGGCTTTAGTCTCTATCATGGCGAGTCAACGAAAAGAACCATCTGCAATAATTAAGCTGTACTTAATTCTCTACAACTCGGTGCAATTCTTAGGGTAGGTCCAAAGTCCATTATGTGCCGTAATCTGAAACACTGATATCCAGATTGTTTTTAGATGGTTCTACATATTCGTACAATTCGTGATGCATGTATTCCTGGAGGGAAAACCTGCGACCACCCTGTGGGATCGTGTTGGTCAGGCTACTTACTTTTTCCAATTGCTCGCCATAGCTGAGGTAACATTCTCCATCTTATCGTCGAACTTTGAACCTGTTAAAAACTTTATCTATGATTTCTAGTTCTTCCACGCCCTCTTCCGTCTGGTTCCGAGCAATCCCATTTTTACGCTGCTGCAAGTATTCGGACGCTGTATGGTTGTCGTCGCAGGTCTCGAAGGAACTCCGGGCGGCAAGGTATCCCCGGGACTCCCGATTGCCATTTTCTGCTGGAGTTTGATGGAAATCATCCGCTACAGCTACTACGTTCTCCACCTCGCATTACCCAAAGTTCCTCGCTTCCTGACCTGGCTACGGTACACCATCTTCATTCCCCTGTACCCATTCGGATTCATCGGTGAACTGCTTTGCTTCTACTGGGCTCAACCGTACTTCCGCGAAACGGATATGTGGAGCATATCTATGCCCAACCGGTTCAACTTTAGCTTCTCGTTCTACTACTTTGTCTGGATGATGTGCATCGGATACCTACCGATGTTCCCGTATATGTACCTGCACATGTTCGGTCAGCGTCGGAAGGTTCTGGCAGTGGGAGAGAAGCAGAAGGTCAAATGACTGCCAATTAGCAGTGAAGATTTGTAATCGTAGATCGGTGCCAAAGCTAATAAGTGACCATCGCCGAAGTAACTTTTTTGTTTCGCAATTTCTGAAATGAAAAGACTTATTCAATCAGCCTATAGTCAGCCATATACACAATTAGTTTTTTCTTCTACCGAGCTCGGCTGTGCAAATCTCGTCAAAAATAAGTTTCACCGAGATCTCAGCAAAAGTGACATTTGATTGCTGAGTCTCGGATAATGCTTAGCTGAATCCCAGCAAACAAATGAAATGTTTGCTGAGATCTCAGTAAAACTTTTTTTTTTGCCGAGATTTGCACAGCCGAGCTCGGTAGAAAATACTAAGTGCACAGACAAACAGACATAACTCTAGCAAGTTGTTCATCGAACAAGCATTTAACGGTCAATTTCAAAGTATCGTAGTTGGTAGTACCGTCACCTGTGGTGCGCATAGTCAATTCCCTTGCGTTTGACGTTTACACACTACCGCCATCTGTTCAGCGTACTACCCACCACAGTGTATTCAACAGATGGCGGCAATGTTTTAGCGACGATGTTTTACAGTGATAAATATTCAAAGTGTTATGTCTGTTTGTCTGTGCTAAGTGTGTATGGTATTAGATTTAGGATTTCATCACATCATCATCCATCACATAAAAAAAATACGTGTAGGTAATAAAGCTTTTGTTTCGATGACTCTGGAGAAAGAAAACCTCTGTCAATTTGCTTATTCCAATCGATCTTCACAACGGCGCTGGGTGTGTAGTGGTAAGCGTGACTGCCTCTCACTCCTAAGGGCCTGGGTTCAATTACAGTCGGCTCTGTCGGGATTTTCTGAGGCATAACATCTCTGATCACGCCTTCCTTAGGAAGGGAAGTAAAGCCATTGGTCCCCGGTCTATGAGTTGATGGGTCGATAGGTAGGGTCCGTGTGTGGCAGCTGCCTCCCTGGCGTTGGTTGCAATGGTACTCAATAAAAACTTAGAGCGACCGAGGTTCCTGGCCACTGGAGGGAGATCTACGTCGGCGGCGGTGCGGAGGAGTCGGTTCGCCTCGTCGAGGAGAACGATCCTGCTGTTTCTCGACGTTTTAGCGAGAAAGGCAGCGGATTTGGTAGCAATAACTGCGGTGAAAACGAGCCGAAAAGGTAGGATACCGGCTTCAACGCATGCAGCGTCGGCCGGGGTAGAGGGCAGGAGCCCGGAGACTGTTCGAACGTAGCCGTTGTACACCGGTTCCAGAATCTGGATGGCTTTCTCGGCGGCAAGGCATGTAATCTCTACACCGTACAGTAGGCGACTGTCGATGATGGCTCGAGCTACGCGGAAGCGGATTTCGCGGTTGTTGGATCGGTGAGGGCGGGAAATGGTCTTAATCAGGTTGGACCGACTGCGAGAGTCCTTCTTTACTTGTTGGAAGTGCGGCTCAAAGGATAAATTCCGATCGATGAGCACTCCCAAGACCCTCACGGTTTTTAAGGGTTGGTATTGCTTGTTTTTTAATCTTGATGGTCTGTCCGTTGTTGCGATGCCTGGTGGTACATATATGGCAGCGCACGTTCTTGCCGGCGGAAAGCTGGAAACCAACAGAGTCAGCCCATCTAACCACCGAGGAGACTGCCGCTTGTGCTCTCAGTTTCGTCCTCTGCAGGGTGGGACCCACCGTTACAATGAGGACGTCATCCGCGTAGGCGAAGATGTAAACGTTCTTGGGTAGTTGGTCAAAAACCCCATTCATGGCCACCAGGAAGAGGGTGACCGCGATCAGCGAACCCTGTGGCACTCCGGTTTCCTCACTGAGACTTCCAGATTGTTCCGGTACGGTACTGGCTGTGGCGGGAAATAACGGGATGTTGTTGCATAATTTCGATGTTGAAACCGCTTACCTTCACGGGAAAATTGAAGAAGAAGTGTATATGCGGCAGCCACCGGGTTACGAGGTTGCGAAGAAAAAAGACTATGTGTGTATAAACTGCAAACCCTAATAAACAAATACCATAAACGAACAATAACCCAAATAGTCGAACTTTTCCACAAATGGTTTGGATGATACCCCAAACACGTCGTTAAGCAAAATAACCATAACAAATTTATTAGGGAAGAAGTATCTATGGACTTAAACAGTCTGTGCGCTGTTGGAATCGTGCGATTCATGCTGTGTTGGTGAAACTGGGATTCGAGCAGTGTCAGTCCGATGCGTGCCTGTATGTTCGGCGCGATGGTAAGGATCTGATCAATCTTCTCGTCTATGTCGATGATTTGTTGGTCGGGTGCAAGGATGCATCGAAGATTGCAGAAGCGTTCGAGTTGCTGCGAAGGTGTTTCGACATTACAGATTTCGGCATGGTGAAGCATTTTCTCGGACAAGAGATTCGACGCGAAGATGGCTGTTATAGTCTGCAGTTGACGGGCTAAATCGAAGGTTTGGTAGATAAGTTCGGCCTGAAGGATTGCAACGCTTGTAAGACGCCTATCGACCCTGGATACGTACGTTACGAGGAGAGCCAGCCATTGGATGAAGTTACTCGGTACCGGAGCTTGGTTGGTGCACTGCTATATATTTCGGTAAACGCAAGGCCGGATATTGCTACTAGTGTTTCGTTTCTGGATCGTAGAGCTAGCCAACCAACCGTTAAAGACTGGAAAGAAGCCAAATGCGTGTTGAGGTATCTCAAGGGTACCAAGAAGTTGAAGCTGGTGTTCGGACCGGGAGAAGCATGGTAGCTGAAGGGATATTCTGACGCCGATTGGGCTGGTGATCACAGCAGCCGAAAATCTACAACCGGGATCATATTCCTGTACTGGACGGGACCAATCAGCTGGGTGAGTCGCCGGCAATCATGTGTGACCCTGTCATCAATGCAGGCGGAGTATGTCGCTTTGAGCGACACATGCCAAGAGCTCATCTGGATTCGACAATTACTGGCGGACCTTAGGGAGGTTCCTCAGGGAGCTACGCCTGTATTCGAGGACAACCAAAGCTGTCTCAGTTTTGTTCGGGTGGAGCGCACTAGCAAAAGGTCAAAGCATATCGACACAAAGCAACATTTCATCAGAGATTTGAGTGACCAGGATGCAGTGGAATTGGTTTACTGTCCGACGGATCTCATGGTGGCAGACGTCCTAACTAAGCCTCTAGGAGCAATCAAGTTCGGACAACAGCTGAAGCGTGTCAGCCTGCGAAACTAGAACTCCGTGTTCATTGAGGAGTGTAGAAGAGATACTATGCTCACCTGAAGACAGATATACATTGGATTATGATGTATTATACCTTTCTATACGAGTAACTTTGCGCAACTGTCAAATGATGTTTCAGTTCAGTGTTTTTTTATTCTTGTAATCATCAATGCAATAAATGTTCTTCCGCAAAGTATCTTTCACGTGTGATAGTTGTTTCTCCGCTCTGAATTCCCTTTTTCGGTCATTTGTTCCAGGAGTTTTTGCTTCGGTCTGATGGGAATCCTCCCACAGGTATTACCCTTATTTCCTATGTAAAAAAAAATAACAGTTACATTTTGCACAGATGTCGAACCGATGTGTGGTCTTCAACAAAGCTTTACTGTAGCAATTTGTGAATTTTTGACAAGCAATAGAACAGTTTCGGACCGTTTCCCATACATGTTCCCATACAAATTATAAAGCTCTCCCGCAAATCCAGATCGTAACCAAATTCGATCAAATTTGGCACAATTCTTGGGGTTGTCCACCCTAGTTGTTCTTCGTGTTTTTGGACCTTCCTTTATATTCTTAGAATTTCCATGAAATTCTCGGATCTTCCTGAAGATTCTCGCAATTTTTCTAATGTTAATGCAACTAGCATAAAGTTTTCATAGTTTTCCAAAAGTTATTGGAACAACATTGAAGTTCCCGCAATTTTTCTGTCGTTCATGGGACTCTTAACTTCTTTCTGGACTTTGTTCCTGGAAAATCTGTTAAGTTCCTACAATTAAAATGAACTTGATTGAACGGACCTTTAGTTCTCAGAACTTTTTGGAACTTTTCCCTCAAGTTTCCAGAATTTTCCAGATGTCCGTGAAATTCTCAGAATTTTCCCGAAGCTCTCTAACCTAAAAATCTTTGTAAAGGTCTTCTAGAATTTTCTTGAAACTGTCATGAAGTTGTCTGATCTTCATCTACAATTTTCACAACAATTTCTTGAAGTTCATAGAACTTACCTGAAGTTCTCGGAACCTACACTTAAAGCGAGGGGGACGACTCTATCTACGATACAGAAAAGATTGTGTTTTGCTGTGGCTAGCTGCGCGCACGCTGAGTAGATAGAAAGAAGATTGATGACGATTCTGAAGATTTCCTGCAAAAAGATGATGCGCGATGCAAGTAGATGCGACAAATGAAAGAAGATTTTTCGAAAATAGATTCGCTAGTGTGAGATTTGTTGAGCATCAAAACTTGAGATTTAGATGTGTCACTCCCCTCGACTTAAAGCTCATTAATCTTCCCCAATGTACTGGACTAAACCATAGAGGTAACTCTAAGACCACTGGGTCCCGAAGAAAATCATTATTATTTTTGGCTCACTCAGTACCAGAACAACGGTCCCAAGCAGTCCCAAGCTATTTCACTCACCCCTGCATGTTCTGCATGAATCCACACACCCCTGATGTTATCTGTCAAACTTTCATAGCGAATCAAAACAAACATAGTGTAGTAATAGAATTTCAACTAGAATAGGGTACGTTAATCGTTTGCTTGGGACCAATAGGCTACTAAAGGTGTGAGCCAATTTAAAATCGTTAGTTTCATATTGATTGTTGACTAAACTGTTTCAGAACTTTCTTGAAGTTTTTGAAAGTTCCCTGAACGCTTCGGTTATTCCGTAAAGTTTGTTGAACATCATTAAATCTTTCCTGCTTTTTTTTCTGGAGTTCCCTGAATTTTTCTGAAATCATCATCCAAATAACCAAAATATCTCAGAAATGGCGTCAGCATAGACATGTTCTGTCAAACACACTCGACGGACGTCAAATGTATATGACATTTTGATTTCGATCAGCTGGTTTTGTTTACTAACAAAAATCTTGTGCATTACCGGTGCATCGTTTTGCACGTTCGGGACCAAATATCACTTCAAATAATAATGGAATTAAAC